GCTAGATTTTGCCTCTTGTACTTTGGACATTTTATAGGGAGGGACCAGTCCCTGGAGGAGGACATCACATTTGGGAAAGTAGGTGGTCAAAGAAAAAGATGAAGACCCTCAACGAGATGGATTGACATTCTGGCTTCAAAGACAGGCTTAGGCATAGCAATGATTGTGAAGATGGCACAGGACCAGGCAGTGTTTCATTCTGTTGTACACGGGGTCACTATAAATCAAAACTGACTTGATGGCACCTAACAATAGTGATATAATATTATATGTTGTATATGGTATATAAAATGAAATAACAGTAACATAAAATTGTTAGTTAGAAATTCACTAATAGATACATTATGTTTAAATTCATATACACAAAAAGACATAGCATCAAAATATATAAAGCATTAATTGGCAGAGTACAAAGAGAAATAGAAAAAATATACCTTCATAGTGGGAGATTTTAAGTCATTTATTTGGACACTCAGAAATTAAGCAGACAAAAAGATCGTAAGGCAATGGAAGACTTGAAGAATGCAATTAACATACTTGATTCAATGGGCGATAAAAAATAGTGCATCTAGCAAGTAGAGAATATATATATTTTGATATGTGGCCCACCCCTTCCTATTTTTTCAGTTCTAAATATTTTTAATTTGCATTGTTTTTTTCTGTTTTGAATTTTGTTGTTGCTGTTTGTTAGTTGCTGTCAAGTCAATTCTGACCCATGGTGACCCTGTGTGTGCAGAGTTAAACTGCTCCATAGGGTTTTCAAAGCTGTGACCTTTTAGAAGCAGATTGCTAGGCCTGTTTTGAATTTAGAATTACTTAAGCAGTGTTTTGTAATTTCCATATATGGGGTTTTTATTCCTAGTCATCTTTTGTTATATATTTCTAACTTCAGTCTAAAATAACTTACCCATTGCCTTTCAGAATTTTCTCTTGGCCAGACCTGTTAGTGGCAAACTATTCACTGTGTATCTCAAAATGTCTTAATTTAGGCTTTTTTAATGAAAAATATTTTTACTGTATATTTCATTTTTGGCTTACTTTTATTTTCTTTCTGCGTGTTGAAGATATTATTGCACTACCTTATGATTCCCATTATTACTGTCAAGAGGTCTGTTCTCAGTTGTTCCTTTGTAGGTGTATTAATTTTCTAGGACTGCCATAATAAAGTCCCACAAACTGGGCGATGTATAAGTACATAAATTTTTTCTCTTACAATTCTGGAGGCCAGAAGTTCAAATACAAAGTATAAGCAGGGCCCTCTTTTCTCTCCAAAAGCTCTAGGGGAAGTGCTTTCTCCTCTCTCCTGACTTCTGAAAGCCCCAGGCATACCTGGCTTGTAAATGCATTTTCATATGGCTATCCTTCTGTCTGTCTTTTGTCACTTTTCTTTTTATAAGGCACCATTCAACAGACCAGTACTACTCTGGCATGAACTCATTTTGACTTAACTGATAACATCTTCAAAGACCTTATTTCCAAACAAAGTCATGTTCATAGGTAACAGGGGTTAGGATCTATATATTGTCTTGGTTGCATTTGAAATCTTTGTCATTGAAGTTCGACAGTTTATTACAGGGTCGTCATTTGTATCTTCACTTGTATTTATTTTCCTTGGGACTTACTATGAATCTTGGATCTGAAAACTCATATTTTTCATCCCTTCTGGATCATGTTCTGCCATTATCTTTCCCATTGCTTTCTCTTCATTCCCTATTCTCCCCTTCTGAAGGTTCTGCACATGGTTTAGACCTCATATTGCACTTCGTGTCACTTTGCCTCCTTCTTGTGTTTTTCTAGCTCCTCTGTGTGCTACATTCTGAATTTTTTTAGCTCTCTCTTTTGGTCCATTAATTCCTTCTTCATTTGTGTCTGATTTTCTTTTTAATCTGTATTGTCTTTTTTATTTCAGTGTCAATATTTTTCAATTTATGGAAGTTTTACTTGTTTATTTTCTATATCTATTTTTTTTCTTTATATCTTTGTCTTCCTTATGGTTTTTAATCCTTCTTTATTCATTTAAACATATTTTCCCCTTACGTTACTTCCAAACATCTTTTACTCCCAGCTTGCTCCATTATCTTAAAATACCAATCTTCCTGTTTTTTTGTGTGTCTACTGACACCCTAATAGTGAATTATTTTCTTGTTCAGTTTTGGTTTGTTGACTTGCTTTTGTTGTTGTTTTGTTTTTCTGGTGAAAGCTTTTGTAGGATTCTTCTCTGTGGTCCTTTTGTGGATTTTACTCCTTGGATTGTGGAAGTGTTGGTATAGAGTGTGTTTATTTTACTTCTGCTAGGCCCCCTGGGGTTTCATAGGTCTAAGACCAACTTTGTCTAGAAATTTTTTTTTCCCCCTGGCTTGGGTGATAGAATTTGCATTCTATACCCACATGTAGCTCTGGTTTGGGGCTTCACTTTGTCATGGGTCTCATTTGATCCTTCCATCCTCCCTTCATGTTGTATGAGCAGAGACCAGCTTTCTTATTGCTTTCCTGGGTCAATGGATCCTAGAGGAGTCTTTCCAGAGGTCTGGCTTTATATGAGCAGCTCAGCTTATAGACCCCTGAGCAGACCCAAGGAGCTCTGGTGGCATAGCGCCTAAGGCACTTGAGTGCTAACCAGAAGGCTGGTGGTTCAAACCCATCAGGCACTCCTCGGAAGGAAGGTTGGGCAATCTACTTCCGTAGTGATAACTGCCTTGGAAACCCAAGGAGGGGTAACTATGAGTTGCATCCGACTCAACAGCAATAAGTTTGGATTTTTGGTTTTTTGGAGCAGACCCAAGGCCATGTCTCCCAGACCTGCATGTATATGAGAACCCCAGACCCTAATCCCTGGGTGACTCGGTATCAGCCCATGTTTTTACTCTCTGTTTTTAAGTTTCCTCTGTATATCTGGCATGAAGGGATCTTGTTTTCTTTAAGTCCAGCAGTGTATTAAAAAAGAAATGGAGTGCATAAAGGACATAGAGGCGGCATCCTCTGACCTCCTCCAACCTCAGAAGGGTGAGACAGAATCACCATCAGTATGCCCAAGGCTTTTTCCTGTGAGGCCAGACATACCGCCACCCTCCAATGTTTCTACTTTGACACCAGCAGTCCCTCCCACAACACTTACTACCTCTCTGCTGGGTTTGATAATTTGCTGCAATGACCACACAGAACTCACAGAAAATACTCATGATTATGGGGTTTGGGGGAAGTAACAGGCTACAATGCAGGGCCAGGAATGCTATCAGGATACAATTCTTCCATCAGGATAGTCTTTCCTCTGCTATACCCTCAGGCACGCTTCTCTGGCCCTTGGCCTCTCAGTCTGGCCTCTGCCCTGCTCAGGCAAGTGTTACAAAGCTCTTTTGGCTCTGCAGATAGATGCATCCCACTCTGCCGTCAAGCCTTCTTACTTTGTGGGCCGACAAGCCCACCACTCTGTCTCTTGCCTTTTGTTTTCTCAGCCAAGTTGTCTTAGCTGGGTCATCCCTGCCAAGGAGGTCCAGCACAGGGACCTCCAGTCCAAGGATGCACTCTACTCCACCTCCAGCTCTCTCCATAGCAGTGAGATCCCCTTTTCTGCCTTTAGGAAGGGTCATTTTAAGCCTGGCATGTGACAAAGCTAACCAATTGCAATATTAGAGTTCCATACACCTTTTCACATGGTCCCACGCAGTAATCTGGTGGAAGTCCCAAAGACAATGGCTAGAAAAGCCATACCAAGTAATTCACTACACCACATGGGGGTTCTGTTTTATCTAATCTTTCCAAGTGTTTTCAGCCAAGTAGGGTCATTGTTAGCATATTCTGCTGTGTGGCTAAACTGCCCAATGTCTCTTATCACTTAATCTTTTTTTCTTTTTTTTTAATTGTGATTTGGGTGAAAGTTTACAGAGCAAATTCATTTTACCTACAACAATTCATACACATTTTGTTTCATGACATTGATTGCAATCTCTATAATGTAACATCTCTCTTCCCATTTCTTCCCTGTGGTTACCTTTTCCCTGTGTCCTTTTTTCCTATGCATTCCTGCTCTCTGAGCTATCTCCCTGTGCAAATACTGCCCTTCTGTTCCCATGGTTGACTGTTGTAAGGAATGTATTGGCCTGTTGGAAGTGTTTACCTTATACACCTGTCTATTGTTTGGCTGGAAGCCACAGGAGTGAGTGCAATTGCAGGCCGAAAAGGTGACTAGGGACCATAGTCTTGGGAGTTGACAACCACTTAATCTTTAATGTCTGTGTTGAATCAGTTGATATTTGCAGTGGGAAGAATAAATCCTTGGCTCCAGTGTACACAAAGTGCCTCCTGTCATTCAAGTGCTTTCATTGTCAGCTATCTCCAGGTCATTTCCTTCCTTTTCTTGCTGGTACTCTGTGATCCTGCTGGTCTGGGCTCTGTGTGCCTTCATTTGGGGAGATAGTCCATTCTTGAACTGTGTGTGTCAGCCCTGCTTACTTGTTCCCTGTTTTTCTTCTAATTATCTCTTCTTGGAAGATCCCTGAGGCTTTCTTCAGTTGAAAATAAAGCAAAGCTTCTGTACTTCTACGCAGCATTTTTGTTGATGTTGTTGTTGTTGTTTTAGCATGTGCTTGTGTGTGTATACTTTTATTTTTAACAAAACTATTCATGGTGAACCTACTCTGCTTTCGTGTAATTTACTTTTCACAGTAATAGTCATGTTTTGGGCAGTGGAAATGCTTTTATATTCTAAAGCAGTGAAGATAATGTTTGTTTACCTGTGTAAAGAGCACACTATTAGCAAAGAACATGAAAACAAACAAAACAAAAACAAAGCCAAGAACCCAGGAGGAGCAGTTGGGGAGGGGAGGAGGGAACCTACCAACAGGCTTCCCTTTGTTTCTGCTTCCTGGGCAATCTACTTCTGTAGTGAAACCACCTTGGAAACCCAAGGAGGGGTCACTATGAGTTGGATCCGACTCCACGGCAGTGGGTTTGGTTTTTTGGTTTTTAACTCTGGTCTGACAATTGTGTCTGTCTTTGTGCAGAGCACCTGTTAACTCACTTGGAACAAGCCAAAGGTGTTCCCCCTGCAAGCCAGAGCGAAGCAACTCCCGAGAAGGAGCCAGAGGTGCCCCAAGGGGAGCCACCCGTAGGTCCACAGAATGTCAGCACCACCAAAGAACAGAAGAAAAAGCCTCGAAGGGGAAGAAAGCCCAAAGCATCAAGAACCGAGCAGCCTCTGGTCATTGTGGAAGACAAGGACCCTGCAGGTGAGGGAGATGGTCCTTGGAAGCTGACTGCTTGGAGGAGTAGCCCCTTCCTGGGCCCCACGGTCTGGGAGGTTGGGAAGGGAGTAAGGGGGTGAGGACGATGACCCTGAGGCTACCTCCCCTTGAACAGCTTGGGAAAACTCAGCAATGAGAGTCACGTGTAAGATTCCTTTTTTTTTTTTCTTTTTAATGTTTTTTAATGCATTTTATTGAAATATAATTTATGTATGCTGAAATACACAAAACTAAAGTGACATGGGTAAATGCATTTTTTTTTTTTTTTTGCAGTGTTCCCTCCCCTCCCCTCCCACCCCTGGCAACCAACAAAGAAAGTTACCATCCATATATAAACCTTTCCTTGACCCTGTATAACAACGAACTAATACTATATTTGTCCTTCTGTGATTGACTTATTTCACTCAGCATAATGTCCTCCAAGTTCATCCTTATTATGCGGTGTTTTGCAGACTCTACATTATTCTTTAGTGCTGCATAGCATTCCATTATGTGTATGTACCATAGCTTGGTCATCCACTCTTCCACTGATGGGCATGTAGGTTGTTTCCATTTTATTGCTATTGTAAATAGTGCTGTGATGAACATGAGTGTGCATATACCTGTTCCTAACCTGGCTCTCACCTCTCTAGGATATATACCTGGTAATGGGATTGCTGGGTCAAATGGTATCTCCAATTCCAGCTTTCTAAGAAATCGCCATATTGCTTTCCACAGTGGTTGTATCACTTCACAGTCCTACCAGCAGTGTATGAGAGTCCCAATCTCTCCACATCCCCACCAGCATTTGTTATTTTCTGTCTTCTTGAACCTTCCCCATCAACAGAAGAATGGATAACCAAACTATGGTACATACACACAATGGAATACTATGCAACACTAAAGAATAATGTAGAATCTGCAAAACACCACATAACATGGATGAACTTGGAGGACATTATGCTGAGTGAAATAAGTCAATCACAGAAGGACAAATATAGTATTAGTTCATTATTGTAAAAAGTCAAGGAAAGAGTTATATATGGAAGGAAACTTTCTTTGTTGGTTGCCAGGGGTCGGGGAGAGGGAAGGGAACACTACAAAAAAAAAGGAAAAAAATGCATTGACCCATGTCCTTTAGTTTTGTGTATGTCACTGTACATAAATTATATTTCAGTAAAATGTATTTAAAAAAAAATCTGTCAGAGCTAATTTGCTAAGTTATAAAATTCCACCATATATCCTAAATGTTTTTAGTAGGAGCTCTGGTGGCATCATGCCTAAGGCATTTGACTGCTAACCAGAAGGCTTGCGGTTCAAACCCACCAGCCACTCCTTGGAAGGAAGATTGGGCAATCTACTTCCGTAGCGATACTGCCTCGGAAACCCAAAGACGGGTTGCTGAGTCGGATCTGACTTGACAGCAGTGAGTTTGGTTTTTTGTTTGTTTGTTTGTTTTGGTATTCAAAGGGATTGAAGTAATGTTATCATTGTTGTCTAAGAAAAAAATCATAAATTAGAAGTCCAGTTTTGAGTTAAGAATCAAACTTTCTTTTCTATAAATATAGGTTAATGTATGGCTGCTAAAATGTTACTGGTTGTGTTTTGTTTTTGTTTTTTTTTCGATTTAGATCTTGTAATTTAGTATCTAAAAGCTTTGGCCTGGCTGTGGTTCCCTTGGAGTCCCTGGGTGGCACAAACCTTTAACATGCTTGACTACTAACCAAAAGGGTGGGAGTTCAGCTCCACCGAGAGAGACCTCAAAAGAAAGACCTGGCGATCTACTTCCATTCAGGCACTGAAAACCCTATGGAGCACTGTTCTTCTCTGGCACATGTAGGCTCGCCATGACTTGACAGCACCTGGTTTGGGTGTTTTGATTTTGGTGCTTCCCTTGGGCAGGTCTTCTTGTTTTGGTGTGACTGTCCCTGGCCCCTAAGATAACCTGTCACATTCACCTTTTACAGAGCACGTGGCAGAGATTGTCACCGAGGTCCCCCCAGATGAGCCTGTGAATGCAGCCCCAGATGAGCGCATCATGGAGCTGGTTCTGGGGAAGCTGGCCACCAGCACCAGTGACAGTGGCTCTGTTCCAAAGTAAGCCCCACCTTAGCATGCAGTCTGTCTTGGTTGACAGAAAGCGTTACAGGCAGCTGGTCTGTTAGGGAGGGAAGTGGCTTCTCAAGGGCAAAGCCTGATGGTGGGTGTATTTCTTGTGTTCTGAACTCATAGGCCTGGGAAGCAGCAGTAATGTCTGGAACTCAGGAGTTCGTAGTGTGTCCACTGTGAAAACATTGTCATATTTGAATTTCAGTAACTTAACACCTCACTCTAGGGTTTTGGTTTTTTCTTTGTATGAACAAGGAAAATATTTCTTTCTCTTTTAGTTACTATTCTTGATTAAACTTTTACCCTGAAGTAAAATTTGTACTCAGCTGCAACTTGAAAGGTTGAAGGTTTGAGTCTACTCAGAGGTACCTCAGAAGAAAGGCCTGGTGATGTACTTCCAAAAGAATCAGCCACTGACAACCCTGTGGAGCATGATTCTACTCTGACACAGGGGGTCTCGCTCTAAGTCGAGGGCTGACTTGGCTGCAGCTAACAGCAACATGTAGTTGGTGAACCTATGGAAATACTGAAAATTGAGACCAAGTTAACCTCACAAGGAACATTGCCTATTTATACTCTGTTTTATTGCCCAGAGGATTTCAGGTGGCTTATTGTCAAAAGCACATTTAATAAGGAGAAATAATTTTAAATTAAGTCAGAAAAATCAGAATCCAAAATCAAAAGCAAACCCACTGCTGTTGCATTGGATCCAACTCATAGCGACCCCTCCTTGGGTTTCCGAGGCTGTATCTCTAGGGAAGTAGAGTGCCCATCCTTCTTTCCGAGGAGTGGCTGATGGGTTTGAACTGCCAGCCTTCTTGTTAGCAGTCAAATGCCTTAGGCACTATGCCACCAGAGCTGAAATATACAATAGAATGTCAAGACCTAGTGAGAAAAACAGAACACGAAAATATTCTAATTGAGGCACAATTGAGCTCCAAATGGCTAGGTGGCCAGAACTAAAACATGTAAGAGGTGCAGCTATTACAGAGTAAATTCATCTTGGCTATTAAATATTCAAAGTGTCTCTCCCTGCTGGACACCCTAAAACCCAGTGTGATGCTTGAGCCATTCCCACCTTTCTAGCATGGAGACTTGGGGTTACTTGGGATGTTTGGGAAGAAGGCTCACTCTAAGACAGTTGCAGTCTTACTTCTATGTTCTCCAGTGACCCTGTCACTCTCCTACTTTTAACCAGCTCATGTGTCTCACCTGGCAGGTTCACGCATCACCCACATAGCACCATCACCCTCAAGAGGAGCTTGATTCTCTCGAGCAGGCATGGCATCCGGCGGAAGCTCATCAAGCAGCTGGGTGAGCACAAGCGGGTCTACCAGTGCAACATCTGCAGCAAGATCTTCCAGAACAGCAGTAACCTGAGCAGGCACGTGCGCTCGCATGGTGAGTGTCTGTCATGCCAGGCCGGGGAGGGGTAATGATGGGGTGGCAGTCTTCCGTTGTGGAGGTCCCTTCTGTGAATCGCACTGATGCAGGGTCTGTAGCTGTGGAACAGATGGGGTGGTGGTTCTCTCCTATGGTTGGTCACACCCAATGTCCAATGTAGAGGGAGAGAGGGCTCATAGATCTTATTTAAAAAAAAAAAAAAAAACTTCAGCGTTTCAGAGGTGGGGAATCCAATTTTTAGTAAATGCTTGAAGTAGTGAATCAGCTTTCTATTGGTTGATTCCTAGGTGACAAGCTGTTTAAATGTGAGGAATGTGCAAAATTGTTCAGCCGCAAGGAGAGTCTAAAGCAACATGTTTCTTACAAGCACAGCAGGAATGAGGTGGGTGGAAATGACCCCACGGTTCTCGTTCTAGTTATGCAGAAGATAACAGAGGTTGAGTTTAAATAAGCATGTTGGGAAGAGAAAGGAGAGAGAGAGAAAGAGAGTAAGCAAGCGAGTTACATGCTCATGAGCAAGCTTGGTGAGGGTTGTATGTCCCCTGGGGCATTTACAGACCCATGGACTGCACATTAGCCCACCCCAGCCTGGTAAGATGCTGATAGAGGCAGGGGGAGTAGTCCAGGAGTATGGGAGGTTGGTGTTTGGAATGCGGTGACCTGAATACAGAATTCTCTTTCTAGGGCCATTGGATGGCAGAGTGAAAAAGCCACTGTATTCCTAAATAGACTAGGAGAGCAGTAGAGAAAGTTGTAAAATATACGCACTTCAGAAAACGCCAGAGTAGTACTACAAGTGAGCACGTTCTCTGCCCTAATCTGGTTCCAGGTGTCCTCCTACTAACCATGCTCCCTGTTTGAAACCAGGTGGACAGTGAGTACAGATACCGGTGTGGGACTTGTGAGAAGGCCTTCCGCATCGAGAGTGCGCTGGAATTCCACAACTGCAGGACAGGTGAGGGAACACCTCCACACATTACAGTGACCTTGCGCTTCTCTCTGACGCGATCCAGCTTTGATTCTTAGATGTTGTTGTTCTTTTGTTGTCAAGTCACTTCCAACTGTGGTGATCTCCTGTGTGTCAGAGTAGTACTGCTCCATGAGATTTTCAGTGGCTGATTTTTTAGAAGCAGATAGGCAGGCTGGTCTTCTGATGTGCCTCTGGGTGGGTTTGATCTACCAATCTTTCAGCTAGTGGTCTTGTGTGTAACCAGTTGTGCCACCCAGGGACTCTGATTCTTGGATAACCTAATAGAAACTATTGATCTTTTAAAGGGAAATTAGAATTGTTTTAATGAGGAAACCTCACCTCTAACATTTCCACTTTGTTCCTTTTGCTTCAAAAGATAACACTTAGGCTAAAGATACATAGATGGAAACTTCCTGTATCAAAAGAAATTGATGTTCTTACTTTCTATTAGTCTTCATAATAGCAACTCATAGTGACCCTATACGACAGAGTAGAACTGCCCCATAGGGTTTCCAAGGCAGCAGACTGCCACCTGTCTTCCGCGGAGCAGCTGGTAGATTCAAGCCGCCAACCTTTTGGTTAGCTGTCAAGTGCTCTAACCACTGTCAAAATTGACTCGATGGCAGTGGATTTGGGTTTTGATTTTTCATTGGTCTTCAGTTTGAACACCATGGTGGCTCCCATTTGAGGGGAAGTTTCCATCCTTGCTAAGAATGGTAAGTAGCATGTATAGTTTGTTACAGAGCCATGGGAGAGGTACATAAAAACATCAGGATAATGGCTCTAGAAGGAGTTTCTCGGTGGTGCAAATGGTTCATGTGCCCGACTGCTAACTGAAAGGTTGAAGCTTCATGTGTATACAGGTGCCTCAGAAGAAAGGCCTGGTGAATTGTTTTTAAAAAATCAGCCACCGAAAACCCTATGAGCACAATTCTACTCTCACACACCTGCGGTTGCCATGATTTGGTGTCAAATTGATTACATCTGGCTAAATGGCTTTGGAAGGAGGGAGAATTCTGCCTCATTCATGTGGAATGATGTTCCTTAGTGTTAGCTGTGCTTTACCCATTTTTCTTGCCAGCATCTGGGAAAGGAAGTTGTAGATACCTTGTAAAAATCATTTTTCTTCTCAGCCTACTCTGTCCACCAGTCTCAAAAAGTAAAATTAAAACTCATTCCCGTCCCACCCATGTGTGAAGTCAGAAGCTGCCTTGCTCTGCATGGCCTATGGCAAGAGGAGGCATCTTTGGTCAGGCAGCGACTGCAGCTGGCAGCGGTGTAGCATAGGCATCCAGTGGCACACACCCTTCTCCCTGCCTCTCTGCAAATGCTCCTGGGTGCACCATGAGTGGAGCCCCACACTTCCAGGCTCCATGTTGGTCATGTCAGAGGTCCAAGCGCCAGGTAGTTAGGATTGCACTGCCATTGTGTTGTCCCTCTCTCTAGGAATCATAGCCAACTTGGGATGGCTGTTCTGATGGCAGTCAGCTTAGAGACCTACCCTGTTAGCCTTTTATATCAAACCCCTTTTCCTGGTGATCACTTTGTGTGCATCCCTGTGTGCATACTGGTTCTCAGGAAGGTGCTGGTGGGCCATCCATGCATCTCCCCAAGAACTATAACCAGCATTAGCTAGGTGGGAGCATCCCAGACACCAGCCCACCTGCTTCTGCCCTCTCTGCTTGGTGTCTTGGGTTTTTTGTTTCCACGTTGAGGGCTCCTGTTTGAAACCTATCTTGTTCTTCTGCCCATGGGCCTTTCTCCTCATGGTGGGACTTTTGTGTGTCTTTGGTTTCACCTGAGCATTAGCAGCTCTGGAAGATTGGTGTCTGTGGTATGAACTAGTCTCCAGGAACCTCCAGATGATTTTACAGTGCACTGCACTAACTGTCCTCTAAGCCTTCCACTACAGTACCCAAGAAATTTGGCACAACCCACCCAGCTCTTCCTATTTCGTGCATATATCTGTCAGACAGACCAACCTTTGTTTTGTTTGTTAACTGCAGTCAGGGATCGTGCTCCCACCTGGCGTGTCAGCAAACCATTCCAGGTAAGTGCAGTGATGGCAGGTATCAGGACAAGAGAGAGGGAACATCCGATTCTAGGGTCTTTCACCATAAGGAAGACAGCCTCTGGGCAGTTGACTCCAGTAAAAGAGAAGCCATCCACCCCACCCACCCCCACTTTTTTTTTTTTTTTTTTAATGTTTTCTCTGCATGTGAATGAAAAAGAACACAATAAAAGAAGTCAAAGTAGCAGTTGGGACATGTCAGTTGAGAGTTCTGTTAAATCAGATGCTTATCTTTGTTCAGTAACCATTGCTGATGAGTCGATTTCAATTTACGGAGCCCCTATGGACAGAGTAGAACTGCTCCATAGGGTTTCCAAGGCTGTATCCTTATGGAAGCAGACTGCCACATTGTTCTGTGGAGCAGCTGGTGGGTTTGAATTACCGACCTTTCGGTTAGCAGCCAAGCATTTAACCACTGCAACACCAGGGCTCCTTCTTTGTTCGTTATGGAGAAGTAACTGAGCAATGGTGCCTTGAAATGCAGTTTTCTTACCTTGATATGCTCTCATATCAAAAGGTAGAAGTTTTAGACTGAAAATTAAAGGATAAAATCTTGAAACTGAGTTTATTTGCCATAACATTATTTGCATATCTTTCAGAGCTTGTTTATACCATTGAAGTTAAGAGAATGTGTATCTCCCTTAGACCATTGAACTGAGAATTTGTACCATGTGAGGGAAAAGGCTCTAAAATGTGTAGGCTGGTGGATTTTTGTCAAGCTTTCACTCAACAGGACCTATCTTTGTACTTATCCTCCACAGTGTGACTAGTTATTGATGTAACTCGTTTGAATGTTCACTGTGCTGCCTTTGATCTTAAAGACTGTGTTAGAGAATAGCAAAGGCTGAAGTCCAGACCCTCAGGCAGCCTGGTGCCCTTGAAACCCATTCCCCTGTCTCTGGGGACCTGTGTATCTGCTTTTTGTCAGGCCAGGTAACTAGCACCTTATGCGAGTTGGTACATTTTATTAAAGTATAAATATAGACGCAGCAGCAGAAGGACTGTTCGTGGAGAAGGGCTTTCATTGGGATCAGGTGCCTCCTTGGATTCCTGACCCACCAACATTTGACGCCTGGGTAGGAAATCCACCCCCATGGTGTGGCCGACTAGTCCCAGGCCAGCTCTGACCTCTGCTCTCATCAGGCAGAGGCCCAACTTCAAGCTCTGGGAATGTTTTGAAGTGGGTTCTCTTTCCTGATGGCAGGAGGGACTTGTAAGAGAGGAAACTAGACAGCAAGCCCAGCACTGCTGCCTTTCACAGCTATCAGCCTCAAGGCTGGTGGAACCCCTTGCCAGGAGAGCTGGCTCATGTGCACTCTCTGTTCCTGCAGGGAGAACGAGCTCACCTGTGTTCTTTAGTACCTTCCAGGAGGGCAGGCTCACCGGTGCTGTCCTGCACCTGCAGGGAGGGTGAGCTCATCTGTGCTCTTTGGCAGGCCTAGGTTGGATGGGGGGAGGGGGCCTTTGGTGACCTGATGAGACAGCACTGTAAGGGTGTGGCCCCTTCACAAAGCAAGATGGCAGATGCTCTTGGATCTCATGATCCCATTAGAGGTTCATGCGAAGGAAATAATGGCAGAAGAAAACAGGTATATTATTTAAAATTGTGTCCTTAAATTATCTACAAGTCAAAAATAATGAAGTAAATGGTGACAAGTTAAACTGGATTGAGTAGTACGTTGCCATTAAAATAACTATAAAAATATTTAACCTAATGTTCAGGAAGACTACATAAGTTCATGTTCTTTCTAAAACCAGATGAAACTCACTGCTATTGAGTTCATTCTGATTTATAGTAACTCCTATTGGGTTTGCAAGGCTATAAATATTTATGGAAGCAGCCTGCCTCGTCTTCCTTCCACAGAGTGGCTGGTGGGTTTGAACCACCAGCCATTTGGTTAGCAGCTGAATGCCTTAACTATTACACCACCAGAGCTCCTTACATGTTCTCTAGGTCTCTGTAACTATGCACACAAATCACCAAACACTGTCAGAAAGATATGGTGAGAGGAGTGGAGTCATGTGGGTCATTTTACAGTTTAGAGAAGAAGCACAAGCAGTGTGTTGGGCTGGGCAGCACCATCCAGGTGAGGAAGGCTGTAAGTCAAGGCCACACTGTGGGCCAAGCTGCTACCATCCCAGGCTCCAGCTGTAGGAGCTCCAGGCCCAGCTGAGTCAGCTCACCCAGGGGAGGCAGTCAGGTCCAGGCCACAGGAACACCACCAGCTCAGGGGGGAGCCAGGCAGAGGAGCTCACTGGGCAATCTGGGCACCTGGAAGGAGAGTTCCCACATGGGGGGTGTAAAGTAGGACAGAGATGCCTGGTGTCCTGGGTAGAGTTAAGAAACCACAGTTTGGCTACACTTAGTTGAAGAGGGCCTGGAAGGTGAGGCAGTGGACACAGGTATGTGAGCCATGCCTGCAGGCTTCATTTTGTGTGTTGTGTGTGTGTGTGTGTGTGTGTGTTTGAGAGAGAGTATATGTATCACTGAGAATCTATATGCGAGAGTGAGTGTATGTGACTGAGAATCTGTGAGTATGTATGAGTTTATGAGTATGTGTGTGTGAGTGAGAGTATGTGTCTGGATGTGTGATTGTGAGTTTGTGAGTGAATGTATGTGTGAGTCAGAGTCTTCATGAGAGTGTGTGACTGAATGTGTATGAGAATGTGTGTGTGACTGAGAGCATGAATGTAAGAATGTGAGAGAGAGAAAGAGCGTGTATGTGAGGGAGTGTGGGATTGAGAGTCTGTGAGTGTGTGTGTGTGAGTAAGAGTATGTGTAAGTATGTGACTGAGAGTCTGTGTGAGTCTGTGTGCAAGAGAGTATGGATATAACTGAGGGTCTGTGAAAGCATGAGTGTGTGAGTATGTATGACTGAGATTGTGTATGTGAGTGAGAGTATGAGAGTCTGTGTGTGTGAGGGCATGTGTGAGTGAGTGTGTATGTGTGTCTGTGAGTGTGAGTTTGAGAATGTGAGTGTGTATGTGAGTCTTTGTGCATGTATGTGACTGAGAGTTAGTGTGTAAGTATGAGAAAGTCTGTAAGAGTGTAAGTATGAGAAAGTCTGTTGCCCTTGGGATACCCCCTCCCCTCTCTTGTTGCTTCTTGCCATTACTAAGGCACATCATTGAATCTGTGTTAAATGCTATTTCACTTCAATGTCATTTGTTTGTTTGCTTTCTGGACAGATGACAAGACATTCCAATGTGAGATGTGTTTTAGATTCTTCTCCACCAACAGTAACCTTTCTAAACACAAGAAGAAGCATGGGGACAAGAAGTTTGCCTGTGAAGTCTGCAACAAAATGTTCTACCGCAAGGATGTCATGCTTGACCACCAGAGGCGGCATCTGGAAGGTAAGTACGCCTGCCTGGAGAGAGCTCTTCAGTGAAGGATTGAAGGGGTGGTGAGCCGTCTTGCATCATGGGTACATGTAGATTGCTACAACCTTTTTGGAATGCAGTTTGACATTATCTTATCAAGAGCCTTAGGAATTCCCATCATATGATCCAGAAACCCTCCTCTGGGAATCTGACTCAGAGACAGAGATGTGTTGGTGTACAGATGTGTTGTGTGTTAATGGTGTTGTATATTAGTAGAAAACACTTCAGTCACTAACCAGCAGGTTGGTAGTTCCAACCCCACCCAGTGATTCTGAGGAAGAAAAACCTGGCAGTCTGCTTAAGAAAGGTCATAGCCTTGAAAACCTTCTGGAGTAGTTCGACTCTGTAACATGTGAGGTCATCATGAGTCAGAGGCTGACTGACAGCAGCTAACAACAATTGAAAAAATTAGAAACATCCTAAATGTTCCACAGTGGGGAAAGGGTTAAAAAAAACTATGGAATATTCATAGGATTCAATGTTACACAGTAATTCAGAGCAATTTTTCCTAAGACTTTTTAATATTGTGAGAAAAGGCTTTCAAACCAAAAAACTCACTGCCATAGAGTAGATTCTGACTCGTAGTTGACCCCCTTTGGGTTTCCAAAGCAGTATCACTACTGAAGTAGATTGCCCACTCTTTCGTGGAGTGGCTGGTGGATTTGAACCGCCAGCCTTCTGGTTAGGAGGCATTTGCCTTAGGTACTATACCATCTTGCTGTGACAGAAAGTAGGAAAAGACAGTATATGAAATTGTGTATGTGATATGCTTTTAACTGCATGCATAGAAGAGAACATCATGGGTGGATATTGTGTTGGAGAGACCATGAGTGGTTTTCCCATTATTCTGTATCCTCTTCTTTGTTTCCCACTTGGCCTCTGGTGAACGTTTATTGTCCACAAGGCCCCTGGGTGATGTGCTGCCATTTGTAGTGGGCTTGGAGTGCAGGGGAGGTGACCTGCCCACATGGTGAACTTATGAGATAAACCAACCAACCAAAGAAAGCGCACAAGTTACTGTGGAGTAAGTGCCAACTCATGGCAACCCCACGTGTGTCAGAGCAGAACTGGGCTCTGTAGGGTTTTCAGAAGTTTATCACTGAGGCTTTCTCCTGAGTCACCTCTGAATTAACTCAAAGCTCCTTGCTAGCCTTCAGTTAGCAGCCAAGTACATTAACCATTTACACCACCCAGGAACTCTATGAAATGCCAAGGGCAGGAAAAAGTCTATTTCTATGGGCCAGTTTTGTCTCAGGAAGAGTGAGGCAGCAGGACAAGGAATGGCAGCAGGATGCAGAAATGGGGATGAGATGCAGGGGTATCCTGTGTGTTCCTTGGGTGTGTTTGCCTCCAGAGAAGACCTAGGAAGTGGGCAGCCCAATTTGAAAAGCCCCATCCACAGAAGCAGGAGTAGCCACTTGGGCACAGACACCCCTCAAGGTTCCCAGCACCCTTAGGTCCTCTGTGGAGGGTCCCATACAGATCCTGCTTCCAGAGGCACTTGTGGTTTTCTGCTCAGACATGCCCTCTGTTTAGTTAGGGTTCTCTAGAGAAACAGAACCAGTAGTGTGTGGGTGTGTATGTGGGTGTGTGTATGTAGAAGGGAACTCTGATGGCATAGTGGTTATCTGATAAGCTGTTAACTGAAAGGTTGTCAGTTTGAACCCACTATCCGTTCCATGACAGAAAGATATGGCACTCTGTTTTCGTAAAGATTAAAGCCTGGAAACCCTATGGAGCATTCTATTCTGTCCTATAATATCCCTATGAGTTAGAATAGACTCAATGGCAACTGGTTTGGTTTCCTGGCTTGGGTGTGTGTGTGTGTGTGTATACATATAAATATATTTATTTGTGTGTGTATATATTTACACATAAATATATACATCCATATATATATAAACACATATGCTTGTGTGTGTGGGAGCTCTGGTAGCATAGTGGCTAAGTCACTTGCCTGCTAACCAGACGGCTGGTGGTTCAAACCCACCAGCCACTCCTCGGAGGGAAGGTTGGGCAATCCTACTTCCATAGTGATACTGCCTCGGAAACCCAAGGAGGGGTCGCTATGAGTTGGGTTTGACTCGACGACACATAACAAATAAACAAAAAGCTTGCGTGTGTGTATATATATATCATGAGCCAATTCCTTGAAGAAAATCAATTAATATATCTCTCTAAATATATATTCATATATATATTTATAAGTGAAGGAAATGGCACAAAACAAGGCTCCAGGAATTGATGGAATACCCATTGAGATGTTTCAACAAACAGATGTCATGCTGAGGCATTTACTGCTTTATGCCAGGAAATTTAGAAAACAGCTACCTGACCAATCGACTGGAAGAGATTGGTATTTGTGCCAATTCCAAAGAAAGATGATCCCATAGAATATGAAAATTATCAAATAGTAGCATTAATATCACACACAAGTAAAATTTTGCTGAAGATAATTAAAAAATAGTAGCAGCAGTATATTGACAGGGAACTTCCTGAATGCAAGCTAGATTCAGAAGAGAATGTAGAATGAGGGATGTCATTGCTGATGTCAAATGGATCTTGGCTGAAAGTAAAGAATACCTGCAACATGTTTACCTATGTTTTATTGACTATGCAAAGGCATAGTCAATAACAAATTATATTATTCCATATATCCATAACAATTTATGGATAACAGTGAGAAGAATAGGAATTCCAGAACACTTAATTGTGTTCATGAGGAATCTGTACATAGACCAAGAGACTGTCGTTTCAGCAGAACAAGGTAATGCTGCATGGTTTAAAATACAGAACGGTGTGTGTCAGGGTTGTATCCTCTCACTAATTATTCAATCTGTATGTTGAGCAAATAATCAGAGAAGCTGGACTATATGAAGAAGAATGTGACATCAAGATTGGAGGAAGACTCATCAACAACCTGCAATACCAGATGACACAACCTTGTTTGCTGAAAGTGAAGAGAATTTGAAGCACTTACTGATGAAGATTAAAGACTACAGTCTTCAGTATGGATGTCACCTCAACATTAAAGAAAACAGAAAACCTCACAACTGGACCAATAAGCAACATCACAATAAATGAAGAAAAGATTGAAGTTCTTAGAGATTTAATTTTACTTGGATCCACAAGCAACACCCATGAAAGCAGCAGTCAAGAAAGAAAGAAGACATTGTATTGCATTGGGAAAATCTTCAAAAGACCTCTTTAAACTATTGAAGAGCAAAGATGTTGCTTTGAAGACTAAGGTGCACCTAACCCAAGCCATGGTATTTTCAGTTTCGTCATATGCACATGAAAGCTGGACAATGAATAAGGAAGACCAGAGAAGAATTGATGCCTTTGCATTGTGGTGTTGGCTCAGAATACTGAAAATACTATGCAGTGCGAGAAGAATGAACAAATCTATTGTGGAAGATGTGCAGCTGGAATGCTTCTTAGAAGCGAGAATGGCCACTTCAACTCACCAACTTTGGTCATGTTATCAGAAGGGACCATTCCTTGGAGAAGGATATCATGCTTGATAAAGTAGAGGGTCAGAGAAAAAGGGGAAAACTCTCAACGAGATGGGGCGACACAGTGACTGCAACAATGGGCTCAAGCACAGCAGGAACTGTGAGGCTGGCACAGGACCAGCCAGTGTTTTGCTCTGTTGTATATAGGGTCGCTATGAGTCAGAATCAACTCAGCAGCAACTAACAACAACACAACAAATACACACACACACATATAAAATATATGTACACATATATATGGTATGTGTGTATATATATATGTATACATACCATATATATGTATGTATATATATTTATGTAAATATATGTAGAGAGAAATTGATTTATATATATATATATATTTTGTTTTTTTGGTATATCTATATATAAACCACCACTCATCTGTCAGTTTATTGTACTGTGGTGGCTTGCATGTTGCTGTGAGACTGGAGGCTATGCCACTGATATTTCAAATACCAGGAGGGTCACTCATGGTGGACAGGTTTCAATGGAGCTTTCAGACTAAGACAGACTTGAAAGAAGGAAGGAGCCATCCATTTCTCAAAGAATTTGCCAGTAAAAACCTTATGAATAACAGTGAAATACTGTCTCATATATTACTGGAAAACTTAATGAATAGTGCTGAAACGTCTGATATAGGGCTGGAAGATGAGCTCCTCACATCAGAAGGCACTCAAAATACAACTGGGGAAGAGCTACCTCACCAAAGTAGAGTTGACCATAATGATGTAGATGGAGTAAAGCTTTTGGGACCTCCATTTGCTGATGTGGCACTACTCAAAATGAGAAGAAACAGCTGCAAACATCCATTAATAATTGGAACATGGAATGTATGAATCTAGGAAAATTGGAAGTTGTCAGAAATGAACTGGAATACATAAAGATTGATAGCCTAGGCATTAGTGAGCTAAAATGGACTGATTTTGGCCATTTTGAATCAGACAACCATATGATCTACTATGCTGAAATTAACAAATTGAAGAGGAATAACGTGGCATTCATCATCACAAAGAATGTTTCAAGATCTATCCTGAAGTACAGTGCTGTCAGTGATAGAATGATATCCATATGCCTCCAAGGAAGAACAGTTAATACTACTGTTACTCAAATTTACACATCAACCACCAAAGCCAACAATGAGGAAATTGAAGATTTTTACCAACTTCTGCAGTCTGAAATTAACCAAACAGGCAATCAACATGTGTTGATTATTACTGGTAATTGGAATGCAAAAGTTGGAAACAAAGAAAAACCACGAGTAGTTGGAAAATATGGCCTTGGTGATAGAAATGATGCTGGAGATCTCATAATAGAATTTTGCAAGACCAACAACTTACTCATTACAAATACATTGTTTCAACAACATAAACAGTGGCTATGCATGTGGACTTCACCAGATGGAGTACACAGAAATCAGATCTACGACTTCGGTGGAAAGAGGCAATGGAGAAGCTCAAT